AGGCCAAAGCCACAGCCATGTGATTTGTCCTGACATCTGTCATAGGACCCCTTTTCCTTTATCTCGCACACACACCCCCTCCAGCTCTGCTGCTGTGTTTTATGTAACAGAGGACTTGGGTTTTTATTGTTTGTGCCACTTGACTCAGACAAGAAATCTGGAGGGGAGGAAAGCCTTAAATTGTGAACAGAATATTTTTGTAACATATGTATTCAAGTGACAGCTTAAGCCCAGGAAGCTTAACAGATGAGAAGCTCCACTGAGGTTAGCAATATTAAAATATTCCTAAATTGTAAACACTAAAAAGAGAAAAAAAAATTACCTTGTCTGAGCCCCTCCATTATTCTCAGTCTTTTTATAGGCCTCTTACAAAATAGACGTATAGTTCTTGGAGGAGATTTGAGAGCTACTTTATGCCTGGTCCCTAAGTCCCAGTACCGACTCTCAGAGAGTTTATAATTTATTGGAGAAATGAAAAGACTGCAAACACATGATGTGATTAAGTGCTGCAAGTAGAGAGTAGACTTACTGTGGAGGAGTGGAGAAGGGCCATTAATAGACCATATCATGGGGCTAGCAGGTTGATAAGGCGCTGGACTCCCATATGGCTGACCATGGTTCAAGTTGTGGACCCAGCAGCTTGAAACTCATGCCAAATGTGTGGGCATGTGTGCCTAAAATCCCAGGGGGAGAATGGAGGAGAAGGCATTGTGGCATGGCCCTCTGCCCTGGGGGGTGATTTCTCACTTTCCCTTTCACCATATCTGTTTCTAGAGTGAGTGCATGAGTCCTATAGCAAAAATCTCTCTTTTAAAAAAAAAAAAAAGTCCATATCATGCCTTCGTGTTTTTTTTTTTTTTTTTTTTTCCGAGAGGTTTTTGCTATAGGGCGCGTGCACTCGCCAGACAGACAGAGAGAGACAGAGAGACAGAAAGCAAGAAATCACCCCCCAGGGGGGATGGTCACGCTGCAATCCCTTCTCCTCCATTCTCCTCTCGGGATCTTGGGCACGCACACACACGCGCCTAGCATGAGTTTTAAGCCACCAGGTCCGGGACGCAAACCGTGGTCGACTACGTGGGAGTCCAGCGACATAGCCATTACGCTAACTGCTGGTTCCCTCATGCCTTAGTTTTAAAAAAGAAAAGATGCCTCTTCATCTGAACTATGAAGCCTTGCAACTGGCCACACAGTCAGGCAAGAAGAAGGCTGTTTTAGCTCCTCCTTGCCTCCTTGTTGAGGGATCCTCATGTGGGATAAAGTCTGCACAATCATCATGCAAAGAAGAGGAAGGTTTGGGAAGACTTCAGGAAGTGGTTTCTGAATTGAATCTTTTTATTTTTTTTCTTTTTTGGAGAGGTTTTTGCTATAGGGCGCGTGCGTTTGCCAGACAGAGACAGAGAGATAGAAAGCGAGAAATCATCCCCCAGGGGGGATGGCCATGCCGCAATCCCTTCTCCTCCATTCTCCTCTCGAGATCTTGGGCACGCACGCGCACGCACCCGGCGGGACTCTAAGCCACCGGGTCCAAGATGCGAACCGCGGTCGACTATGTGGGAGTCCAGCGACATAGCCATTATGCTAACTGCTGGTCCCGTTTCTGAACTGAATCTTGAAAGTAAAGATCTGAAAGCATAGGGCTGGGCGGCATCCTGGCCAGGATGCAAAGCTTTCCGCACCACTCGTGTGTAGAACCACAAGCTTCCTGCTGTTTACGGTAAGTGCCTGATGTATGTGTACAAATGTTTTCTAGGTTTATATACAAAACACTTAACCTGTTTCAGTTGCCGGTAGTATGCAGCAAACTAGCGTGCTGTGCAGGTCTGAGCGTGGGACAGTAGGTGACCCTGTGTAGCCCCAGTGTGTAGTAGATGATACCATCTGGGTTTGTGGGGGGATGCTGAGTGATGCTCACGCAGTAAAGAATTGCCTAATGACACTTTTCTCAGAAGGCATCCCCACCATTCCGTGAAACGTGACCATGTACATGTATGATGTACGAGTCACAAGAAGCACAAAGCATCAGGACGCTCTTTATTTCTAGTAGAATAATAATCATTTACACTGCGTCTGAGAGTGTCTGGCTCTGAGTCAGATGGACTGAAGTATACTCTACCTGTCTCCCCGTGGAGAGCTGCCGTGAGACCAGCACAGCACGCCTAGGGCAGCAGTTTGAGGTCTCTGAGAAGTAAGTAGTTGCAGGTATATTGGAGAAGAAGCCTAAAATTTGAAGTGCCAACAAAGCTGTTGTGCCCGCAGTATCTCCTGACATGGATTCAACGGGCCGAGAACCTAGAAGTAGGTATTCTAGTGGATAGAAAGAGCTGCAGGAGAATTCTAGTTTGGGCCCAGGGATCAGATAGGATCCCCTAATGCCCGGAGGAGAGGGAGGGAAAGCGTTCCTTCTTTTAGAAATATTTTCCTTGGGCCAGACGTTAGTACCATACTGGAGCCAGACTCACACGGAAAGGCCCAGAGTGCACTTCCCAGGGCCTTCCTGTGCATGTTGGCGGCACATGTGTGCCCGTGGTCTGGAGTGGCTGAGGCTGGGGTGGATCTTGGCATTTGGACCCTGTTAATGGTGCCTCTCTCTCTTTTTTATAAGAAATCAACTTCTTAAAAAATGTTCTGGGACCAGCAGCTGACATGAAGGTTAAGGTGGCTGGATCCCACAGGGTTGATTCTGCAGTTTGAATCTCAGACCCGGCAGCTTGAAAACCATGCCAAGTGCCTGTGTGTCCTTGCCTGAAAACCCAGAGAATGAATGAGAAGGGATTGTGGTGTTGCCGTTCCCTCACTTTCTCTCTCTCTTTTTGTCTCTCTCTGACAAGCACATGCACCCTTTAGCAAATAAAAAAATAATAATAATAAATTTTAAAAGTTCTTCCTCAAGACCCAGCAGTGGCAGTGGAGGTCTGCAGAAGTCTTACACTTTGAGGAGGAGTAATGTCCTCTGATCAGAGAGGCTGTGTTCCCAGGATACTGGGTGAGCACTCATTGCTTTTATTTCTGTTTCTCTCCTTTCCATGGTTGGCTCAGAGGTGGTTATAGTCATGAAAAGCGTACAGTGTGATGAAATAAATAAGCCCCAGTTATCCGATCAGAGCACAGAAAACAGGAGCCCCAGGGAAAGAGAAGGTACTGGAGAAATCACAGAGAAGTGGCTTTGGAAATTAACCACGTCAGGTTGTTTATAAGCTCCTGGGCTTTGGCCTGCTTTTGTGTGCATTTATCGTTTCTCCACTTCATACTTAGGGACTGTGGGTAACTGAACCCACAGAAAGTCAAAAGTGGCACGTATCTGATCCTAAAGAGAATACCATCGTCTCTGAGAAGTGACCAGGAGTGGAACCCTGGTCAGGTATCAGGCTGGCCACTGGGTGGCGCACAAGCAGAACAGAGACAAGTGTCAGGACTAAGGCTGTGACGTGGAACTAACACTGAAATGACCCGCAGAAGGCTGGTGGGAATTTGTCGTCTAAATAACACATCGGTATTCTTTATATGATTAAACATGGCACAGAATTTTTCCAGGATACAATCCAAAGTTACCCAGCTTATGAAAAGCCAGAAAAATCTAAGTTCACAAAGAGAATAATATTAACATTAATATGGCACAGATGTTGGAATTATTTTTATAAAGAATACTTAAAATAGCTATTATAAAATGTTCCAACAAGTAATGTTAGACACTCTGAGACAAATGGAAAGATAGAAAGTCTCAACAAAGGAAAAGAAAATGTAAGCAGGAAATGAAAGATATAACCAAATAGATTCTTCAGATGACCCAAATGGGAAAACAGAGATAACAGAAGAAAGAGTTAATGGGGCCAGCAGGTGGCATGGTGGTTAAGGGTGCTGGACTCCCACATGGCTGACCACGGTTCAAGTCCCAAACCTGGCAACTCGCTTTCTCACTTTCTCTCTCTCTCTCTCTCTCTGTCCCTCTCGTCAAATTTAAATATAAATAAATAAATAAAGTTAAATAAAAGTAGTTGTTTTTAAAAAAGAAAGAGTTAATGAACTTGGCAATAAATAGAAATTATCTAATATGAACACAGAAAAAAGAATAAGCAGAGCCTCAGGGTTCTGTTGGATAATAGCAAAATTTCTTTTTTTTAGTATGTATATAATTTCTCTTTTTTTTTTTTTTTTGAGAGGTTTTTGCTATAGGGCGTGTGCGCTCGCCAGACAGACAGAGAGAGACATAGAGACAGAAAGTGAGAAATCACCCACCATGGGGGATGGTCATGCCGCAATCCCTTCGCCTCCATTCTCCGCTCCGGATCTTGGGCACGCACGCACATGCACCTGGCGTGAGTTTAAGCCACCAGGTGTGGGACGCGAACTGCGGTCGACTACATGGGAGTCCAGCGACATAGCCATTACGCTAACTGCTGGTTCCCAGTATGTATTTAATTTCATTTGTTGTTGTTATTTTTAATTTGACCAGAGAAAGAGAGGAAGGGAAAGCGAGAAAGCAAGCTGCTAGGTCTGGGACTCAAACTGCGGTCAGCCATATGGGAATCCAGCGCCTCTAACCACCACGGTACCTGCTGGCCCTGGATAATTGCAAAATTCTAACATTTGTATTGTTAGAACACCAAAAGGAGAGGAGAAAGTGGAGTGTAGAAAAAATATTTGTAGAAATACTGGCTAAAAATTTCCCCGCTTTAGTGAAAGCTTTAAACTTGTGGATTCATGAAGCTCAGCAAACTCAAATGTGATATACTCAAATCCTAGCCTAGAAACTAAATAATTAAACTTCATATTTTAAGAAGAAGAAAGAAAAATCTCAAAAAGCTAGAGCAAAATGATGCATAACAGCTAGCGCAACAGTGATTTGAGTGACTGTTTTTTGTTTTTGTTTTTTTTTAAATCAGAAACCATGGAAGCCAGAGGCAGTACAGTGAAGTGTTATAAATTTTCAAAGAAGAAAACTGTCAACCCAGAATTTTTTCCAGTGAAAATAGCCTTCATAAATAAAATCAAATTTCTTACATGAAGGAAAACTGTGAGAATTCATTGTCAAAACTCTATAGAATTACTAAAGGAGTTAATACCAGAAAGAAACTTGGAACATCAGGAATGAAGGAAATGCAACAGAAATGGTAAATATTATATGTAAATATAATGCTCTCTTATGTGCTTTAAAATATCTTCAGTGGTTAAAAACAAAACCGATAGCTTAGACTGACTGGAGAGACGAGACTCACTCTTCAGATTGGACTGGAAGTCAAACCCAGCCTCCCATGTTGCCTCGCCCGTGGAGCACAGCATCTTGCCACGCGTGCCACTGCCTCTGGGCCTGTGTCTGATACACACATTGACCCTTGAGCAACGCGGGAGTTGGGGCGCTGAGCCCCCCACAGTCAAAAATCTGTATAGCTTCTGGCTCCTTTAAAACTTACCTACTGATAGTTTAACTTGTGACCTTATCAATGACAGTTTATTAATGTATGGTTTACAGTATTCTGAATTGTTTTTAACTTTTTCTTAAGAGCTATATATTTAATTTTTTTAAAAAAATTTAATTTGACCAGAGAAACACAGAGAGAGAGAAAGTGAGAAAGTAACTTGTCAGATCTGGGACTCGAACTGCAGTTGGCCATTTGGGACTCCAGCACTTTAACTACCACACCACCTGCCAGCCCCATATATTGTATACTTACAGTAGTCTAGAGACAGATGTTATTAAGAAAACCATAAGAGGCAATACATTCACAGTACTGGGCTGTAGTTACTGTAAGTTTATGTTGTCTCAGTGGATTTATTGTTTGTCCTTGAAAAAAAAAACTGCATATAACTAGACCTGTGTGCTTAAAACCTTTGTTGTTCAAGGGTCAGCTGTAAAGGGTTTGGTACTGTCAGTGGTTTGGGCATCTGCTGGGGGTCTCGAAACATATCCCTTAAGATTAATGGGGGACGGGAACCAGCAGTTAGCATAATGGCTATGTCGCTGGATTCCCACGTAGTCGACCGCGGTTCGCGTCCCAGACCCGGTGGCTTAAAACTCACGCCGGGCACGTGTGCATGCATGCCCAAGATCCTGAGAGGAGAATGGAGGAGAAGGGATTGCGGTGTGGCCATCCCCCTTGGGGGGTGATTTCTCGCTTTCTGTCTCTGTCTCTCTCTGTATGTCTGGCGAGCGCACGCACCCTATAGCAAAAATCTCTCCAAAAAAAAAAAAAAAAAGATTAATGGGGGACTACAGTATATCCTGTTTTGAAAGTAGTCTATATTATTTTTTTTGAGAATATATGTATGTGTGTATGTATTTATGTATTTAATTTGACCAAAGAGGGACAGAGTGAGAATGAAGAGAGAGAGAGAAAGTGAGAAAGCAAGCCGCCAGGTCCAGGACTCGAACTGCGGTCAGCTGTCTGGGAGTCCAGCACCCTTAATCACCACACCACCTGCTGGTCCTGAGAATGTTTTAATACCACAGAATTTTAAATGTTTGAAGAAACAGAGATTACCTCTCAATATTTCTTTTTCCTAGTATGTATAATACTATCAGAGAGAAAAGCTGTCTAGTAACTACATGATGTGGGCCAATTACTAATGCATAATGTTTTTATTCTAAAGTGAGAACAGCATAACCCTTTACCCTAGAGCCCCTGGAGTCGTCAACACTGAGCAAGGTTATATTTCTGTCATTTTAGGATGCGGTGACATTCACTGATGTTGCTATAGACCTCTCTCAAGATGAGTGGGAATGGCTGAGTCTTACTCAGAGGAGTTTGTACAGGAAGGTTATGTTGGAGAACTACGGGAACCTGGTTTCAGTGGGTAAGAGTGTTGTCTTCTGCTCCCTCACAAAAGTCTTCTATGCCCTTATCAGCATTTTCCTGCAGTCTTTCTCTCAAGATCATTTGGACTGGGTCGTAGCTCTGGAATAGCTACAGCACAGCCAGTTCTTACCTCTTTTCTTCTATACAGGTCTTTGCATTTCCAAACCAGATGTTATCTCCTTATTGGAGCAAGAGAAAGTCCTGGGTGACGAAAGCAGAGGTGACAGGAGGCTTCTGCCCAGGTGAGCACAGGTAACTAGCCATGGAGAGCCTGTCCTCAAGGTGTTTCTCCTCTCTGAGATTTGTTGGGAACTCCTCTCAAACTCCCTCTCAGACTGAGACGTATTGTTCTAGCACTAGGTTTCGGGTGTTTTTTCTCTTCCCCACTGGTATGATATACCACCTTTACCTTCACTTATTTCCTGTATATGTCAGGGTCTTCTTCTGAACCCCTGTCCTACTGAAGTTTACCTGGTTCTACTCAAGTACCATATTGTACAGTCATCTCTGACAAAAACATTTCTGATTCTTTTTGTTGTTGTTGTTGCTAGAGAGTATGTGTGCTTGCTGGAGAGAGAAGAAGACAGAGGGAAGTGAGAAAGCACCCCTGTGGGAGGTGGCTGTGCCCCAGTCCTTTCTCTTCCATTTCCTTTAGGATTTGGGGTATGTACACACATGCTTCCAGTGTGTTTTTCAAGCCAGCATGTCCGAGAGTGCAGCAATGTAGTTGGCCATGTCATCTAACCACATTCACCACGGTGCCATCAGCCGGCCCAATTTCTGATTCTTTTTTTTTTTTTAAAGATAATTTTGTTAATTTTAAAATTTGCTATAGAGCATGTGCACTCACCAGAGAGAAACAGAGAGAGAGGTAAAGTGAGAAAGCATCCCTGGGGGAACAACCACACCACAATCCCTTCTCCATTTTCTGCTTGGGATTTGGGGCATGCATGCACATGCACCTGGTGTGTTTTTCCAGTTGCCAGATCCAGGGTTCTAACAGTGGAATTGGCCATATGGAATCCAGCTGCCTTAACTACCATGCCACCTGACTAGCCACACTTTCTAATTTTTTTTTTTAAGGAATTATGTTGGAACCAGCAGTTGATGTAATGTCCATGTGACTGGACTCCCATGTAGTCGACCATGGTTCGAGTCCTGGACCCAGTGGCTTAAACTCACACTGGGTACATGTGCATGCATGCATGCCCAAGATCCCAAGAGGAGAATGGAGAAGGGATTATGGCGTAGCCATCTCCCTGGGGGATGACTTCTCGCTTTCTGTCTCTCTGTCACTCTCCGTCTTTCTGGTGAGCACATGCACCCTGTAGCAAACACCTCTCCAAAAAATAAAAATTATTTTATTGGGACCAGCAGATGGTGGAATGGCTTTGTTGCTGGACTCCCATGTAGTTGACCACAGTTCGAGTCCTGGACCCGGTGGCTTAAACTCACACTGGGTGCATGCGTGTGCATGCCCAAGATCCCAAGAGGAGAATGGAGCAGAGGGGATTGCGGTGTGGCCATCCCCCCTGGCCGGGGGGAGTAATTTCTCGCTTTCTGTCTCTTTGTCTCTCTCTGTCTTTTATTTGGGGACTGGCAGGTAGCATGGTGGTTAAGGGTGTTGAACTCCCACGTGGCCAACCACAGTTCAAGTCCCGGACCTGGTGACTCTCTTTCTCACTCTCTCTCTGTTCCTCTCTGGTCAAATTAAAATAGATAAATCAATAATATTTATTTATTTATATAAATATTTATTTAAATTTAACTTTAACCAGAAAGGGACAGAGTTGGGGGAGGGCAGGGAATGAGAAAGCAAACAGCCAGGTCTGGGACTCAAACATGGTCGGCCACGTGGGAGTCCAGCACCCTTAACCACCACACCATCTGCCGGCCCCTCACTTTCCGATTCTTTAGGCAAACTGAGTTTTTTTTTAAGTACTTTAACTATTTCATTCTCTCTAAAAGATGATTTTATTGTGTTAACATGTCTAATAGTTATGTTATTTCCTTTGCCATTAATTTTCTCTTTAGAGTTCAGTTTTGTTCTTGCTTTATTGTTTAGTGTGTATGTTTTTCTTTACTCTCCCTTTATGCCACCCAACCCCTGGCATTGGAAAGGTCTTTAGATCCACAAGTTGTTACTCTTTGTGTTACAGTGCTTCCCCCTTATTACTGAGGGGGTATGTTCCAGGGCCCCCAGGGGAGGGCTGAAACTGTGGATAGTACCCAACCCAAAACATACTGTTTTTTCTTACATAGTTCCTCAGTATTCACAGAAACCCCTGTGGACACCATGCCCACGGATACTTAGGATCCTTTCATAAAATGGCACAGTATATGCATGTAACCTGTACGCATCTTCCCATTTACTTGACGTCCTCTCTGGCTCACCTGTAATACTAACACAATGCAAATTTTATGTAAATAGTTTTTATGTTTAATTGTTCCTTTTTTTCTTTTAAGTGTCTGCCATAGGGCACATGTGCTTGCTAGAGAGAGATAGAGACAGACAGACAGTGAGAGGGAAAGTGAGAAATCACCCTCCGGGGGGATGGCTGCACCACAATCCCTGCTGCTCCAGTCTCCTTGTGGGATTCTGGGCATGCACACACACGTGCCTTGTGTGATTTTCAAACCTCCAGGTCTGGGACTTGACCGCAGTTGGCCATGTGGAAGTCCAGTGCCTCAGCCACCACACCATCTGTTGGCCCCTCTGATGCTTTATTGTTTAGGGCATAATGGCAAGAAAAAAGCCTGTACGTGTTTGATACAGACATGGTGTGTGTGTGTGTGTGTGTGTGTGTGTGTGTGTGAGTGGTTTTGATCTGCAGTTGGTTAAATCCATAGATGTGGAGCCTGCAGATACAGAGCAGTGAGTGAGCATGAGTGTATGTGTGTGTGTGTGTGAGCGTGAGTGTGTGTGTGAGTGAATGGTTTTGATCTGCAGTTGGTTAAATCTGTAGATGCAGATACAGCGCAGTGATGAATTCCTCTATACCTGATGTTAAGTTCAGTTTATAAATTGGACGGAGTAAGAAGTTAACAACAATAATAAAGTAGAACAACTGTAACAATATACTGTAATTCAGGGTATGTGAATGTGCTCTCTCTCGCTTATGAAATACCAGTATATTGTATGGAACTGTTTCCAGACCACAGTTGACTTTGGCTAACAGAAACTGGAAAGTGAAACTGCAGATAAGGGGGGATTATTGTATGTATTTAAAAGTCTACATTTCACTTGAAATTCAGAATGTCACGTTGTGACGTCAACGTGAAAGGTGAGAATTAGCTCACGAATAGCCCCTCCTCCTACTCCCTCATTTCTCCACTTGTATTGTAGTCACTGGGATCTTCAGCCCAGCCTATTTTTTTCAAATTCTTTTTTTTGTTTTACCCACCTTGCTTCCAAGTCAATTTTCTGGTATACACAGCTAGATAAGAGACAAGAGATACAGATTGCAAGGAAATGGGTCTCAAGTGAGACGGCCAGAGTTTATTTTGTGGCTGTGGTTTGGCCTTTTCCTGCTTTCCTTTCTTACCATTTCAAGAAGAGGATTGTTGGTAGGTCACTTGTGACCCTAACTATGTACATTAATGAATAAGAAATAATAAAATAAATAAGCATCTAACTCAAGATACTAGAAAAAGGACAAAGTGAACCTAAGGATAACCAAAGTATTTACATACAGTGATTTATACTTCTACAGATAAAAGTAAGACTAAGTCAGTGAGGACACCGTAGATTTAATGAAAATAAATCAGGCACATGCTTATTTAGAAAATCAACAAAATACATAAACTGTCAGGACAAATGAGAGAAAACAAAAGAAATGATGACTAAGCAAAGATCCATAAGTACTTAAAAGAATGAATCTATTTTCCCATGAATCTATTTTTCTCAACTCTGAATATTTTGAAAATTTGGATTATGACCAGCTCTATGACCTATTAGTTGAGGCAGCTGGATCCCATATGGCTGATGGCATGTTCCAATCTCAGCCCTGTTGGCTTGAGAAACACACCATGTATGTGTGCATGTGTGCCCCCAAGTCACAGCAGGATGGGGTGGTGGAGAAGGAATTGCGGTGTAATCACACCCCATGGAGGAGTGCTTTCTCTGTCTTGCTCTGGCAAGTACATGTGCCCTCTAGCAATTAAAAAGATATAAATTACTGCCGTTGACACCAATAGTGTCACAAAAACCCACATAGTTTCACAAATCAATTCTTTCTATGAAATCTTTAAGGAAAAGATATCAACAACATTGTTTGAAATATTCCACAATAGGTAATGAAAAGGAGGGTTTATAAAAATCTGTTTATGACGATAACGTAAGATTTGATAACAAAATAGCACCACTTGTATTGTAATCTCCAAAAAAAGGAGGTTACAGGGATCAGCAGGTGGTGTGGTGGTTAAGGCACAGGATTCCCACTTGGCTGACTGCAGTTCAAGTCCTGTACTTGGAGGCTTGAAAAATCACTTTGGGTATGTGTGTGCTGGTGCCAAAAATCCCTGGAGGAGATTATGGTATAGCCCCTGATGAGGGTGATTTCTCACTTTACCTCTTTCTCTTTCTCAGTCTCTAATGAGCTCATGTGCCCTATAGCATAAACCTAAAAAAAAAAAAATTACAAATCACAGAGATGAATATCAGTGCAAAATTCTAAAGGAAATATTACATTGAAATATCAATATACCATGGCCAATAAGTGATTATTCCACAAATGCAAAGCTGTTTATATTACCTGGTCTTATCCAAGAACCATTAAGAACACGTACCTCAGGACCAACAGATGGCGTAATGGTTACATTACTGGACTCTGTGGTTTGAGTCCTGGACCTGGCAGCTTGAAACTCAGGCTGGACGTGTGTACATGCGTGCCCAAAATCCCAAGAGGGGAATGGAGGAGAAGGTATTGTGGTGTGGCCAGCCCCTAAGGGGTGATTTCTCACTTTCTGTCTCTTTGTCTCTCTCTGGCAAGCACATGTCCCCTATAGCAAAATCTCTCTAAAACAAACAAAAATGTACCTCTTGAAAGCTTCAGTAATGGTTTGTATCATACAGTTTCATTTTGGAAATTTCCATTATTCTAATATATATATTTTAAGAGAGATTTTTTTCTATAGGGCATGTGCACTCAGTGGAGATATAAAGACAGAAAAAGTGAGAAATCATGCTTCCCCCCAGGGGAGATGGCCATGTAACAATCCTTTCTCCTCTATTCTCCTCTCAGGATATTGGCACACATCATACATGCCCTGGGCGAGTTTCAAGCCACCGGGTCTGGGACTCAAACCATAGTCAGCCATTTGGGAGTCCAGTGCCATAGCCACCATGCCACTTGCTGGACCCCTATTTTAATTTTTAATAAAGGAGGCGTTTGCTGCCTTAATATCTTTCAGACGTGGAGTATATGTGGGGGACCAAGGAATCACCTCCACACCAGGACTGTGAAGAAATTATCTCAGGCAATAATAATGGAAAACATAGAAGCTGTGACCTCAAATCCACGTTTGAGGGAAACTGGAAATGTGAGGCCCTGTGTGAGAGGGAGCTGGCAAATCAGAAGACACATTTGAGGCAAGAGACTATCACTCATGTATCGGTACCCTTATTGAGGAAAGAGACCCGTCTAACAAATCTGGGACAGCTTTTCATCTGAAGACATTAGCTTACATAAAACAAGTTTTAGCCATAGATGAGAGAACATATTATTTATATTTGAGTCAGATAGGCTTAATAACACATTCGTCAGACCACACAAGGAAATCTATGGAGAAAAGAAACTTTTAAAATGTAATGACTGAGAAAATGTTCCATAAAATCTCAACTCTTACTCTTCATCAAAGAATCATACCGGAGAGAAACCCTATGAGTGGGAAGGCCTTAGCCAGAGTGCCCACCTTGTTCAGCACCAGAGAATACACACAGGAGAAAAACCTTTTGAATGTACTGAATGTGGGAAAGCCTTCAGCCAGAACGCTCATCTTATTCAGCGTCAGAGAGTTCATACAGGAGAAAAGCCTTATAGTGCAAGCAGTGCCACAGAGCCTTCAGCCAGCCTGCACACCTTACTCAACATCAGAGGGTTCATACTGGAGAGAGACCCTATGAATGTACTGATGATTGTTCATCCCTAGCTCATCATCAAAGGATTCGCACTGGGAAAAGGCCCTATGAATGTATTGACCGTGGGAAAGCTTTCAGGCAGGATGCTTCTCTAACCCGTCACCGGCGATATTATCATACTGGAGAGAAACCCTTTGAGTGTATTGATTGTGGAAAGGCTTTCACTGATCACATAGGACTTATTCAGCATAAGAGAATTCATACTGGAGAGAGACCTTACAAATGTAATGTGTGTGGGAAGGCTTTTAGCCACGGCTCCTCCCTAACAGTACATCAGCGCAGTCACACAGGATAGAAGCCTTATGAATGCAGCATCTGTGAAAAAGCCTTTAGCCATCGTGGCTCATTTCCTCTTCATCAGAGAGTTCACACTGGAGAGAAACCCTATGAATGTAAGGAATGTGGAAAAGCTTTTTGACAGAGCACACACCTCGCTCATCATCAGAGTTTTCATACTGGAGAGAGACCTTATGAGTGTAAGGCATGCAGCAAAACCTTCAGCCAGAATGCACACCTTGCACAACGTCAGAAAATACACACCAGAGAGAAACCTTATGAATGTAACAAATGTGGTAAGGCTTTCGTATCACACACCTTGTGCAACACCAGAGAGTTCATACTGGTGAGAAGCCTTCATGAATGTGTTGAATGTGGGAAGGCCTTCAGTGATGGCTCATATCTTGTTCAACATCAGAGACTCCACACTGGCAAAAGACCATATGAACGTCTGGAATGTGGGAAGGCATTCAGACAGAGGGCACCCCTGATTTGCCATCAAAAGTGTCATACTGGTGAAAACCCGTATGAATGTAATGTTTGCGGGAAAGCCTTTAGTCACTGTAAATCCTTTCCCTTACATCAGACAATTCATACAGGAGAGAAACCTTGCCAGTGCACAGAATATAGTAAAGCCTTTAGCCAGATTGCCCATCTTACATTGCATGAGACAATTCATACTGGGGAAAGACCCTATGAATGTAAAGAATGTGGAAAGGCCTTCAGGCAGAGTGCATCTTGCTCAGCATCAGCAAATTCATACTGCAGAGTCATCCTCAGTTATTCCCTCCTCCCTTCCATACCTCCAAGTACTGTAGAATCAGTCTTCCAGATTTTGCTAGAATCTGTCCGTTTATTTCCCGTCCATGTCCCATCATTGTAGTCCCCAGATGCAGCTGTCCCATTTGAGTTTCTGTGATGGTGTTAACTGTTGTTTCTTCTGCTTCTTTCAAATGCATTTTAACACTGTAGCCAGCTTAATCTTTAAAAAATAAAAATTCATATTACTTTCAAAAATACTTTTTAAAATGTACTAGGGGGCCAGCAGGTGGTGTAGTGGTTAAGGGTGCTGGACTCCTTCATATTTGACCATGGTTTAAGTCCCGGACATGGTGGCTTGCTTTCTCACCTTCTCTCTCTGTCTCTGTCTCTCTGTGTCTCTCTCTGGTCAAAATAAAGTTAAATAAAATAATTCTTTTTAAAAAGTGTATTAGGTAGGGCCAGCAGGTATCATGGTGGTTAACGGCGCTGGATTCTCACATTGCCGACTGGGGTTTATGTCCTTGACCTGGTGGCTTCCTTTCTCGCTTTCCCTTTCTCTCTCTGTCTCTGCCTGGTCAAATTTTTTAAAAAAATGATAACAAATGGAATTTAATAAATCTTTTTAAGAAATATATTAGGTATCCATTTCAAGGACTACACACATAGTCCTTAGCATATAGTTAGTGATAAGTAAGTGCTATATATTAAGGTGAAAGTTTCCTTACAAACCCATGTATTCAGCTGCAAGTAAAATGAACTAGTAGGTTAAAACTGTAACCTACAGGACCAGCAGTTAGTGTAATGGCTATGTTGCTGGACTCCCACGTAGTTGACCACGGTTCGAGTCCTGGACTAAGTGGCTTAAACTCACGGCCCAAGATCCCAAGAGGAGAATGGAGAAGGGATTGCAGCGTGGCCATCCCACCCCCGGGGGATGACTTCTCGCTTTCTGTCTCTCTGTCTCTCTCTGTCTTTCTGGGGAGTGCAAGTGCCCTATAGCAAAAACCTCTCAAAAAAAAAAAAAAAAAAAAAAAAAAAAAAAAGACTGTAACCTACAACTTTAAGAGCAGGCAGAAGATGCTACTTTCCTAGTGGGTAGAAGAGATGAACACATTCAGACTTGAAAAATTTATGATGTACTAGGTAATATGGTGGCTTCTCACTCCCTGTATATGAACATAAGAACATGTTGTGGATTAATTCAATTTACATGACACTTAGAAGAAAGAATAAGGGGGCATGGTGTTAAAGGCGCTGGACTCCTACATGGCTGACCACAGTTTGGGCCCTGGACCTGGGGGCTTGCTTTATAACTCTCTCTTTTTCTCTATCTTTCTCTGAGCAAAATGAATAACAATAGTAAAGAAACAAATACTTCATTTTGTTTGTTTTTTGAGAGGTTTTTGCTATAGGGTGCATGTGCTCGCCATAAAGACGGAGAGAGAGAGAAATCACCCCCCAGGGAGGATGGCTATGCTGCAATTTCTTCTCCATTCTCCTCTTGGGATCTTGGGCACACACTCACACGCGCCTGGTGTGAGTTTAAGCCACTGGGTCTGGGACTCAAACCACGGTCGACTACATGGGAGTTCAGCGACATAGCCATTACGCCAACTGCTGCTCCCATAATTCTTTAATAAATAAAGTATTAAAAATCAGGAAGGCTAGGGACCAGCAGTTAGCATAATGGCTATTTACTTTTTTTTTTCTCATTTATAAACACTATTCTGCACTTTATAGCTGGCAAGTGCTCAGTTAAATGCACAGATACAAGCGAGGTGTTCTGGGTTAATGCAGGAACCACTGGATTACATGGCACTGAGCATCAAAACCAGAGAGAGAGGGGAACCAGCAGTTAGTGTAATGGCTATGTCGCTGGACTCCCACGTAGTCGACCACGGTTCACATCCCGGACCTGGTGGCTTAAAACTCACGCCGGGCGCGTGTGTGTGCATGCCCAAGATCCCGAGAGGAGAATGGAGGAGAAGGGATTGCGGTGTGACCATCCCCCCTTAGGGGTGATTTCTCGCTTTCTGTCTCTATGTCTCTCTCTGTCTGTCTGGCGAGCGCATGCGCCCTATAGTGAAAACCTCTCTAAAAAAAAAAAAAAAAAAACAGAGAGAGAGCACCGAGGTTTCAAAGTCAGACTTGGCCAGAGACTGCTGAGAGCAGAATGACGCTGGACGCTCACAGTGAGCTGTCCTCTCCTCCAGCTGAGCGTACTGAATGGCGTGTCCTCACACTAATTCACTTCAGTGATGCTAGGGGACAGCTATGAAAGAAATGGAACCCATGTCCTGGTGCACCTCGGTTGTCGTTGCCTTGTAAACCATATGAGCATGTGAACAAGAATTTCAGAACATTCTGGTAGCGAGGGCATAGAACAGAAAAGCCTGTGTGTTTCTCCCTCAGTGCCTTCTTGCCTGTTTTCACTCATAACTAGCTCCTGTCGCTAAGCCACATACCCTCACATTAAATGTCTCATGAACACAACAAAATTCTCTCAGATGACAGTTGCTACTTCCAAAGAAGCATCTTGTGCAGACAGTTTACAGTATTGAAGAATCTCTGGTTAGCTGTCCTCCATGAGAAGAGTCACTCATCCCTGATCAGTGCCTAATTGCAGGCATAATTGAGAAGACTGATTCAGGAAGTACAATATGAATAAACATAGGAAACAAACTCCAACATCCTAGTCTATGAGGACTGGGCCAGATAGTGAGCAAGTTCATAGATGGTCTTGCTTGAAGGCTACAGAGTTGTGCTCACATAATTATTCACAATGTAATGGAATCCACAGCCCATGAGCTCTAAACTGCTGGGTAAAGCTGTCTGTAGGTAGGAGATGGTGAGGGTCTAGCTCAAACCTCCTCTAACTCCTGTTAGAAGTGCTGCGTCAGAAGGAACTGCGCCGTCTACAGCACTTCAAAGGCAAGAGAAGTCTGTCGAGATGTACTGATAGAAGGTTCGCACACAATAGTAGTTTTAATTTTGAAGGGCACCCTGAGGTCCGTTTGGTACTTCTCTGAATTTATCTGTCAGGAACAGACTTAAGGACATTCTATTTTTATTTAAATTTTTGGCAAAATAGAAACTTTGGTCATAGCCATAGTTTTATAAAAACTTTTTCCAGGGTTTATTTCTGATTAAAATAATGCTTTTAGCAAATGATACGTAATATCAAGGAAGTAAACATCTTCGTATCTAATGTAAGAGCAAAAACTTCTACCAGCATCTTATTTTAAATATAGCAAGGTAGTTGTTACAAAAGGTAAGAGGGTTCTCTTACGGGGAATCAGAAAAATATTAGAATAAGGCACAGCCTATTGTCACAGATTTGTATTAGGCAGCAGTGTTCTTTCTGGAAGGCACAAGTTGTATCCTGATAGGATACCCTAAGCCCACTCAGAGCCGCCCATCCCCAAACTTTCGGATAAAAGACTGTGCTCGACCCCTAAGTGGGCCGGAGATTCTGAGTGTTAACTCCACCGCACCTGCCGGTGTATTAAAGAGTTACTCCTATCTCTCTGGAGTGCTGCCTTATTGTTCCTCGGCTGTCTGGTTTTCCACAAGACTTGTGTGAGCCTTTACCTATCTCCTCCCCATGGCAACATCTCGCAATATTACATCAGGTTATTGATGCTGATCCTGTCATGATGTGGAACATTCCCAATAACTTTATTGCAGAGTGGAATTCCATGGTATGGATGTACAACAGTTTGGGTACCACATCTGGGTGCTTCTAGTTTGGGGCTATTAGTTTTTGTTGTTGTAAAAATACTTAATATGGGGAACCAGCAGTTAGCGTAATGGCTATGTCGCTGGATTCCCACGTAGTCGACCGCGGTTCGTGTCCCGGACCCGGTGGCTTAAAACTCACGCCGGGCGCGTGTGCGTGCGTGCCCAAGATCCCGAGAGGAGAATGGAGGAGAAGGGATTGCGGCGTGACCATCCCCCCTGGGGGGTGATTTCTTGCTTTCTGTCTCTATGTCTCTCTCTGTCTGTCTGGCGAGCGCACGCGCCCTACAGTGAAAATCTCTCCAAAAAAAAAAAAATACTTAATATGGGGGCCAGCAGAGGGCATAGTAGTTAAGATGCTGGACTCCTAAGTGGTTGACCGTGATTCAAGTCCTGGATCCGGTGGTTTGAAAGTCACACCAGGCATGTATGCATATGTGCCCCAAATCCCAAGAGAATGGAAAGGGGATTGTGGCGCGGCCATCCCCTCCACCCCCAGGGGAGTGTTTTCTCGCTTTCTGTCTCTCTCCGGTGAGCCCATGTACTCTATAGCAAAAACCTCTCTCTCAAAAAAAAAAAAAAAATGTATATGAGATCTACCCTCTTAAACTTTTTTTTGGTCAAGGAAACCAATATTTCTTTTTTTTTGGCGAGGTTTTTGCTATAGGGTGCGTGTGCTCGCCTGAAAGACAGAGAGATGGAAAGTGAGAAATCACCCCCCAGAGGGGATGGCCATGCCACAATCCCTTCTCCTTCTCCTCATGGGATCTTGGACACACACACACACACGCCAGGTGTTGAGTTTAAGCCACTGGGCCTGGGACTTGAACTGTGGTCAACTACATAGGAGTCCAGTGACAGCCATTATGCCAACTACTAGTCCCAAACTTCGTCTTTTTTTTTTGAGAGGTTTTTCGCTATAGGGCGTGTGCGCTTGCCAGACAGACAGAGTGAGACATAGAGACAGAAAGTGAGAAATCACCCCCTAGGGGGGATGGTCATGCCGCAATCCCTTCTCCTCCATTCTCCTCTCGGGATCTTGGGCACACACGCACACGTGCCTGGCGTGAGTTTTAAGCCACTGGGTCCAGGACGCGAACCATGGTCGACTACGTGGGAGTCCAGCAACATAGCCATTATGCTAACTGCTAGTTCCCATCCCAGACTTCTTCATGAGAGAGCACATGCATGCACACGAGAGAGAAAGATGAGCACCGTCCACAGTGTTTGGCCATACTACAATCTCCTTGCTCCAGCCTGTTGGATCTTGAGCACCATGTGTATGCCCAGCATGTTTCATGCTGTCCAGGCTGGGGATTCAAACCGTGGTTGCCATGTGGGATCCCACTTCTCTTGAGCCCACACCCTCACACCCTTTTAAACTTTAAGTGTATATTATTGTTCATTGTAGATACTGTTGTACAGCAGATCTTTAGAATTTAATCACCTAGGGACCAGCAGTTAGTGTAATGACTGTGTCGCTGGGCTCTCATGTAGTCGACCGCGGTTCACATCCCGGACCCAGTGGCTTAAGTTCACACCGTGTGCGTGAGTGCCCAAGAGGAGTCTCCCGAGAGGAGAATAGAGAAGGGATTGCGGCATGGCCATCCCCCCTGGGGGGGTGATTTCTCACTTTCTGTCTCTTTGTCTGTGTCTGTCTGTCTGGCAAGCGCACATGCCCTATAGCAAAAACCTCTCCAAAAAAAGAAAAAAAAAAACTTAATCACCTAATATATCAAAAGCTTTATACCAGTTGAGCAATATCTCCCCATACCCCCATCTCAGCCCCTGAAAACTACAGCTGTCCACCTACTGCCCTTACCAAGTATTCCAGAATGTTCCATGAGTCCCATGCATTCTGAGTTGCATGCTTCTAGGAAACAAAACAAACTCTTTGGTGTGACGGCCACACATGGAGGGCACCTGGCACGTAAGTAAATGCTCAATGTACTTTTAAAATCTTTTGCCAAAGGGTACGCACACTTGCTAGAGAGAGTGGGACAGTGAGAAAACACCTGCCTTGAAGAACGACCACACTGCAATCCCTTTTCTCCCATTTTTCCTTTTCAGGATTTTGGGCATGCACACACATTCACCCAGTGTGTTTATCAAGCTGCAGGGTCTAGGACTTGAAATGCAGTCAGCCATGTGGAATCCAGCCACCCTAACCACCACACCAAAGGCCAACCCCAATTCTCAATATTAATTGAATAAGTACTATATTCCAACATTAACTGTCATGGAAAACCAGACAGCCGAGGAACAATAAGGCAGCACTCCGGAGAGGTAAGAGTAACTCTTTAATATGCTGGTGGGTGCAGTGGAGTTAAAATTCAGAATCTCCCGCCCACTTAGGGGTCGAGCACAGTATTTTAACTGAAAGTTTGGGGAGGGGCGGCTCTCAGAGGGCTTAGGGTATCCCATCAGGGAGAAGGAGTCTGTCAGGAAGAAGCAGCCCATCAGGAAGATGCAGCCCAGTTTGTTCTCAGGAAGAAAGGGTTAGATAAGCAGGGTGTCCAACTTCTCAAGGTCTCGGATTGCTTTTTATCACTTCAGGGGGCAGGGTAGAGGCAGTGAATTCTCAGAGGCCTGTGAAATATTGGCAATTCCTGGCCTTGAGCTATTGTGAGTTCCGGCCTGTCTACATCAGTCTCTCTGGTTTCTGTATTATCTTTTAGAACTTCATGTGGATCATTTACACTTGAAATAAAATTTTTTAAAATCATTAATCACCACCTAAGGCTAACTGCTATTTATATTTCTATAGTCACTCAGGCATTCAGCAAATGTTTTGAAATGAGGTTTTGTAGCTTTTCATGGAAAAGGCCCCAGCCAAGTGGCCTGGTTCCTGCACTGTTTCTCTTGGGTAACCTCCAGTCTGCACCGCAGACCTCAGCAGGAGTATAGCTGGTTGTGAGGATTACGTGAATTCATAAATCACAAAATGACATGAATGGGAGTTGGCACATGGGAAAGTCATGAGGATTAAAATCTTTATGTCAGAAGACAGACTTAAGGGGCCAGCAGGTAGCATGGTGGGTAAGGGCACTGGACTCCCACATGGCTGACTGGGGTTCGTGTCCCAGACCTGACGGCCTTTTCTCTCTCGCTCGCTCTGTCCTTCTATCATCAAATTTAAATAAAGTTAAATTAAAAAATAATTCTTTACACACACACACAAAAAAAACAAAACAGAAAACAAATGTGAAGATCTAACTAATTGGTTTTCATTTGCAATTCTAGAATCAGACAGTATCTTTTTTTTTTTTTTTTGAGAGGTTTTTGCTATAGGGCCCCGTGTGTTCGCCAGACAGAGACAGAGAGATAGAAAGCGAGAAATCACCCCCCAGAGGTGATGGCCATGCGGCAGTCCCTTCTCCATTCTCCTCTCGGGATCTTGGGCACGCACGCACACGCGACCGGCCTGAGTGTAAGCCACTGGATCCGGGACTCAAACCGTGGTCGACTACGTGGGAGTCCAGTGACATAGCCATTACGCTAACTGCTGGTCCCCCAGACAATATCTATTCTATAAAACAGAATGACTGGAGCCAGCCCCACAACCTAGTTTTTAAAGTAGCTGGATCCCACGTGGCTAGCTGTGGTTGAAGTCCTGGCCTCAGAGCTTGAGGGACACACCTGGTACATGTGTGTGCCCCGAATCCTGACAGGATGAAGAAGGGAGTGCTGCGACCACACCCCACTGGGTGCTTTATCCTTCCTGTCTGCCCCCTTTTGGCTGAGCCCATACACCATCAGGCAATTTAAAAACCTAGAATGAAGGGCCAACAGATGACGTGGTGGTTAAGGTGTTGGACTCCCACATGGCCAACTGCAGTTTGAGTCCAGACCCAGTGGGTTGAAACCCACGCCCAGCACATATGCGTGTGTGCCAAAATCCTAAGAGAGTGGAGGAGACGGGAGCGTGGTGTGGCCACCCCCATCGGGTGTGTTTTCTTACTTTCCCTCTTTCTGTCTCTTCACTCCAGGGAGTGCACGGGCACTATGACAAAAACCTAAAAACGAAACAAAACGAAAGAATGAGTGTTCCGATGAGCTGAACAGGCGGGTTAGTTTTCTGGGCATAAAAGGGCTGAGGAAAGCAGGAACAGAACAAAGCGGATTGCTGTTTTTAGTTACTTCCTTCGGGCAGGTTAAAGCCAAGCCTGCGGAGCTCGGGCGCGTGGGTCCCGAGTTCTCGGAAGGTGGCGGCCGCACCCCTCGGCCTCCGCGGGCCGGCTGGCACCCACTCGGGTCTGGTCTGGCGGGCGCAGTGCACCAGCCGGGTTCGAACCGTGGCCTCCCGCACACCCCGTGGGGCCTCCGTGTTTGAAGCAGGCGCGGTCGCCCCGCCTGCTCGGCCCTGCACCGTTCTCCCCTGCTTCTAGGACCTGCTTTCCCCCATCCTCCTCGCGACCCTTTCTGTCTTTCCACCCCTTATCCGCCAAGCGGCCGCGGACCCTTGGCCATTGGCAATTCTTTCCCCGAGTCCCTCGGCGACCTGAGACAAAGAAGTGGCTTGGCCCTGGGTTCGGCGCCGCACGGTCCTTCCGTCCCGCTCGGGTCTGTCCGGTTTTGCTCGGGTACTAACGGCTCCGATCGGCTAGGAAGGCTTGAAGGGCGGTGTCTGCGCGCGGGTTTCTGGGAAATGTAGTCCGACGCTGTCCGCGCAGGCGCCCTGCGGC